TGCTTGTAAGCATTTCTTGGTTTTCTGGCTCGTCTCTACCCAAAGAGTGTCATCGCTCGTCTTGTCTAGCTTCTCCGCCAATGTCCCTCTAAACGCGTGAAATGGCGGGAAAACTTTTATGTTCAATTTTAATTATCTTCTATAATTGTTTTTATTCCGTAAATCGATTAATAAATGACGTAGCGAGTTTCTCATTAAATTTGGTATTCATACAAGGTGTAGTTTAGAAGATACAAGTTTCCTCTTCCCGCCAGTGTATACATATCCTCGTCATTTCGTAGGTAATTTATTTGATTTGCTTATTGAAATAACTAGGCTTATAAGACTATATAGTGCTTAATATTTTAATACTTAGTATACAATACATACATCGTGATACTCTTAGCGACACACGATCACCAAATGTTAAGTTATCTGTAATACATACTGTACGTTATTTCTTCCCTTAACTGAGGATTTCCAAACTTTTAACTATTATAGCCATATTATAATTGTTGATAAGAGAAGCCTATGTGTTTCTGGCATATATTAACAAAGTCATCACTACAGGCTGCGTGGTGATGCCAAGTGTAAAGAGACGGAGTCAAGCTCGTGGGTAGACAGTGGGAGTGCGAAGTACTGTATATATTTCATTGGTCTGTTATAGGTGAGCAGAAGTGTCGATAAATCAGTTATATTTTGGAGTGTTTGTTCTGCTCCTCTATCCTTTCTCTGTCCATATTCTCTGTTATGTCATCCTAATTACTTATCATTTGCTTTATCTCCGCGTCAATCTTACTACAATCCTCCTATGGTCCCCCAGCAGTCAACGTCACCGGCGCAGAACACAAAATGGCAGTGCAGTATACTCACTGTTACCGAAGATGCCATCTCCTCCTCCAAAGTTGTTGCCAAAACCTTGATTAGGTCGTCCTCCAAAGCCTCCTCCAAAGTTGTTGCCAATTCCTTGATTAGGTCGTCCTCCAAAGCCTCCTCCAAAGTTGTTGCCAATTCCTTGATTAGGTCGTCCTCCAAAGCCTCCTCCAAAGTTGTTGCCAAAACCTTGATTAGGTCGTCCTCCAAAACCTCCTCCAAAGTTGTTGCCAAAACCTTGATTAGGTCGTCCTCCAAAGCCACCTCCAAAGTTGTTTCCAAAGCCTTGATTGGGTCGTCCTCCAAAGTTGTTGCTAAAACCTTGATTAGGTCGTCCTCCAAAGGGTCTTCCCCCAAAGGGTCTTCCTCCAAAATTGCTAGAGCCGCCACCCTGACCTGCTAGCTGACCGAGGATTTGTTGCCCCGTCACCAGCGCCGCCCTTGGGAAGAGAAATATTTGTAGAGTGACGACGTTAACTCCCTAATCAGATACTAGTAACATATTTTCATACTGAAAGATCATGAAGCACACAAATACTTTTTCATGATTTAAATGAGATTTAGTTGTCCTGAAGCGCCCAAGTGACCGATAGCGATACACTAGGTATGAGCTGTTAAAAAGATATTTAAGTGTTAACTTAATTATCAACCTAAGAGTAAACACACCTCTTTAAGTGATGCCCACAGGTTCCATGTTAAAGGCATATTTCCATGCAAAAATATCACTATACGTACTGTACAACCACTTCATCATAACACATTTTGAAAAAAAAATTTGGTGGAAAACCCTTGAGTATTAACAAAATATATGATGACGTCACCTGAGACAGGTTGGGAAGGAGGAGATGATTTAATATTTTTTAGATAAATTGTGTGTTACAGTTTCAACTTCCGATGACAAGAGATGGCCATAAACTTCATGCATCAAGAACAACAAATTACATAATAAAATTTAAGTGTAATCGAGGGTCAATAATTCGTCACTTTATGATACACGATAAGAGCCGCTTGTTGACAGCAGCATGTGTACTGACTGATGACTATACTTATTCAAGTACTGTACTTATTGCTTTAAAGTTGAAATAAATTGCTTAATCCCCATATAAAATTACACCTTATATAATGACTGAGACAGACGACTAACTTATAACAACATTGAAATAACCTAACCTACTCTACTACTTATTGTGAACTTCATCGTAAATTGTCAAGAAATACCTCTGGTGATTCCACTTTTCATGCTGGAACTCGAGTGACACAAGTGTTATCTAGTGACTCGCTTAACATAACACAAGATCACTTCTCAAAGATTCCTGCGTTGATTTTTCCCTGTAAAGTTTAACAATGAAGAAAGTTTAACAGACTCGCTTAAGTTATGACAAAAACAGAACCACTCCCAACGCCACTCAAGGTTACTCACCACCACCACCATCACCACTATCACCCCCACCACACTATGCCACGCAACACCACACTAGGCCGGTTCCATGACAAAACCCCAACGGGGTTGTCATTTATCAACACTAATCTAACCTAACCTAACCTAACCTAACCTAACCTAACCTAAACATAAAAGTGTTCTATTTTATATTTTATACATGAGACTGGGGTATTGTCCGTTGGGGTTTTATCCGGTCACCCACTAGGCCACCCACACCCATCATCACCACTATCACTACCACTACACTAGGCCACCCATCACAACCACCTCCCACTGGTGCTACACTGTTTCAGGGCTACAAAAGTGAGGTTAAAGATATGCAACTTAGTAACCCTCAAGGTAGAGTGCTTAGCCCCACTTTGTTCAATGTTCTTATGAATGCATTATTAAATTTAATTCCAGACAACCCCAGCAATATCATATTCAGCTATGCTGATGATATTCTTATACACACTAAAACTCATCGTGAAATGCAAACTACCCTGAACCATGTACAGTTTTACTTTGGTATAATAAGAATGTTTATATTTGCTTAAATAATGAAGAAATTATATTAATGACTTGGCAACTCGACTACAACAAGGAACGCAGAATGCCCAAGATTCTCAGATCAAATTTTCTTCATTATTTAAGCAAATATAAGAACCTTTGGAAACTTCGTATGACCTTAAATAACAATGAATAGTTTATTATAATAATAATTCTACCTTTGGATTCTTTAATATTTATCCTGACAGTGATACAGCCGAAAATAGATCCACCAATCACAATCACCTTTACATACAGCAGTACTTTAACAAGTATTACCAGGTAAAATTGCGAGCACGAGATCCAGGGTGGGGTCGGTGCAGCTTTGGCTGACTGTACTGTACATACAGCCTGTGAGAACCTTGGTCTTATTATCTCCACTGAGAAAACTAAAGTGTTCAACAAACAAGCTGGTAATCGCAAACGCGGCCCTGCCAAATTCAAGATAGGTAACAACACTATTGACTATGTTTCTTCTTTTAAATATCTTGGTGCCTCCGTCCCTTGTACATTACCTGCCATACAACAGCTAACCCGCCAATGTACTGACAGACTGAACCTCTTAGAAGTGTAGCTAAGTACAGTCCACATTATGGTACTAATATTATAATTGTTAAAACAATGTACCTAGTATATATAAGATCTCTGATAGATTACCACGTACCAGCCCTGGTGTCCCATGAGCACTAAAGTACTTACTTTGAGGAAAGAACTAGGTATACCCAGTGACAATGATAGAATAATTGAAGTCAACCTCATGATAGCCCTGAGGCTCCTGCGTGGTGATCCTGATAACATTGTTTCCTTGAAATTGCTAGAATGTATGAACCATGGGACTGGTGAATCTAAATGGATCCAAACTACAGCTACACATATGAAGATGTTTGGACTAGACCGACAGTACAAAGTTTAGACACAGCAGCACTTCCTTCCACCCTGACGGACAGTTCCCTTCGATATCACAATACCGACATATCCGCCTAAAAAACTGAATATGCAAAGTATTTATCTCCAACACACTGCCAAAGTGAGAGCTCTTGAACACATACACACTCTACAGGCTGTTGATAATATCACACAGACCATCTACACTGATGGATCTCTTAACACCGCCTATGGGAGGGCTGGAAGTGATATCGTTGTGACTCAACCTAACGGTAATACAATTGAGAAAAGAGCTAGAATCAACAACTGGGCATCCACTCTATAAATTGAATTTTGCCATACTCACAGCTATCAAATTCATTGAAACCACTGTCACTGACAGTCTCATTATCACTGACTCTCTATCCTCACTACTTGCCCTTGACACCCTCAACTCAAGTTGTCACGCGCTTATCTCTGAAGCGAGACACAAATATGCGTACCTTGTTGACCGGGGTATCAAGATCAAACTGTCGTGAATCCCCTCTCACATATTCCTCAAAAAAAAAATCTTAAAACTGTAATTAGGAAGGAACTTATTGATGAATTTGACGCAAGTAGATTAATGCAAACAGGCACCAGTCGATCCATAGTTTACCATGATGAGATATATCAAATGAAACATGTATAGGGAGCAAGTTACAAGATCACTAGATTACAAGATGTTGTAACCGCTAGACTAACGTTAGGATATAAGTACCTCTGGCAGTATATTCCTCAAGCAGATGTAAACAAGACTAAATGTAAAGTGTGTGGTGAGACATATGGCCACACACTTGAACACCACGTCTTCGACTGTGTGAAGATAGAACCTTTTAGGGACAGGTCCAAGCACACTGTGTGTGAAATGGCACAACATTTCATCTCTAATGGCAAGATAGCCGACATGTTAAGATTGTATCCACTTTTTTGCACTTAATAACTATATTAGTTCCTAAGTATAGACTCAAACACACAATGTGCTTGAATACCTCTCACGCAAATGTGAATAACAAAGTGTGCGGCCAGACACACTGCTTCACACGCCTCTACTCACGCAGTTGTGAATAAGTTACCCTTTATGTAAGGAACTAAACAAATAATGTATTTGAAATACTGTGTAACATTTAGTGCCATACTATCCTGACCACGGGGTTTAATTTTTCTGACCCTTTGTAAGCCATACTCTGTAACCCTTTTGCTCTACCGCTCAAAGGATGAGTGTGGGGTCCACAATAAACTAGCCGCTGTAAGCGGCAAAATTAAAAAAAAATTCAACCACTATCACCACCGCCACAATATGCCACCCACCACCAGCACTACCAACCACCATTACCACCATCACACTAGGCCACCCGCCACCACACTATAGTGCGTTTTTCCCTCCCTCCCCAAGAGTTACAGCTGATTGGCTGTTGCAAAGCTGTCCGATTTCTTCCAGAAGTTGAATTGAATTGAAACAGTTTATTTAGCCAGAAAAATACAGATACAGAGTGGATAATAATAACAATAATAACATGGTTGAGCCAGTTGTGAACCTGAGCTCTCTTTGAGGCACCTGATATATACTAAACATTTATCTCAAGGAAGTATTATGTAACATTTAGTATCATCTGGAATAGTGCAATAGCATGGTAGTAATAAGTATATCTCTTAATGTTACCACGGTTATCACTTCAATATTTATTTATTTTATTATTTATTATTTATTTATTTATACATACATATACACATACCTATACGTACACACACACACACACACACACACACACATATATATATATATATATATATATATATATATATATATATATATATATATATATATATATATATATATATATATATATATATATATATATATATATATATATATATATATATATATATATATATATATATATATATATATATATATATATATATATATATATATTTGCTGGTACTGTTGATTTTTATGATGCTGTCGTAAGTTCATATATGATTGCCTATAGACAATCATGTAGATCATCATATCTCATATAACTGAATAATTTTATACAAAACCTAACCAAGTTAATCTAAATTTTACAATATTCGAATTAATTTCCTTTAAGTTGCGAAAAAAAAAGTTATTCCTATTTGGCATAAATGTCAGTTGTTTTTTAAAGCTTAATTGGTGAATATCTCGTTTTAGCATAATTGCACTACAAACACACACATATACAGTACATATACCATTCTTAAAGACTAGAGATCTTGTGCTAACTATTACCGCTCTCTATCCAGCTCAACAGTAGAATTCTGTCACAAATAATTACAGTATGGGTCAAACGTACTGTACAGTACAGTGCACATATAGTGCATACTTTACTGTAGAGGAATGAACTTAGGATTCAAAGTGGTGTAGGATAACAACTCTCGTCTTGAGGTTCTATAAGAAAGTAGCGTCTGCTCTCAATGACTGCCGTGTTTTTCTATGTCGGTAACCTAAGATTTTAGTTCAGTATGAGTCTCTTGTTCGGTATTACCCAACACAACGATATGTTTTTGGTGAACTCTTCGCTAAATATCAAAAGCTATAGCTGTTATGGTATTCACTAAAGCAGATCATTATTTAAAGATAAAGGCCCTTAACAATGTGTCCCTTGTGCTGTACTCACCTGGTAGCCGGTGTTGGTGAAGCCCAGAGAGTGAGGTTGATGGGTGTGGCCTGAACCCTCGGTGTGGATGAGCTTCACTTCCGTCGGGCTCAGGTCCTGCCCATGCCAAGGTGGGAAGGTTTAAAGAGAAGGGAGTCCAACATCACACATGAACTACTACTGTATAGCAATATATGACTGTGAGTAGCATGTTTATGAGTGAGATACAGTCCGGTTTATTTTATTTGTTATTATTTCCCACCAGTTTGGAACATTCTGTACCTATGGCATTACACTTAAAGTTATATTTTGAACTTGCTTGTGGTACAGTTCCAAATTACATAAGTACTGAGACTGTGGTTATAGATTTCACCTTTGTGTAAGAATACTTATGGACAATGTTAATGACAGAGCGACGGAGGAAGGTGTCACTCTCAGGTGGGTATAAATACCAACACACCTGGAAACTGAGCAGGAGGTCACAGTGCTGGATGTGGAAGGGGAAGTATTGCATGTGGAACTTGCAGGAGAAGTCTGCCATGTAGAGCGCCCTCACCTGCAGCCTATTGTCTCGCCCACTGTACTGGACGTCTGTGAGGAAGAAGAGCTTGACAGACAGACATTCTATCTCTGTTTTCTTTTATCGATTTTGTCCGATGCCAGACGGCACAAAAAAAAAAGATATTGTGGAAATAATCCAAAGTGGCATGACAAATAATCTTTGAGAGTCTGTCTATGCAGTATATCTAATTCTTCTTAACATTAAATACAAGTTACTTCTACCTACACTGTACAATAGTTGTTTACCGCAGTGAACAAGATATGAGGATTTGTCTTACTTTGGGTCAGAAGGCTGCCCCGAGGAGGGTCTTGGGACCGAGTCACTGTGGTGAAGGAGCGGACGACGGTGAAGTTGGTGGAGGCTAGTGCACCTCCTACTGCCAGCCTCCACAGCCCAGGTGTGTTATCCAGGGAGTTGTCACCAGATCTCAGGTTGTAGAACGTAACCCTCGGGTCCTGCCAGCCCAGCTCCACGAAGATCTCTGTCACCATTCTCGAGCCTGGGAAGTCAATCTTTTTCAGAGTGATGGCGAGAAGAGTCATTGTAATGGGTAACGTCTTTTCGCTGTGTGGGGGAGGTGGGGGGATATGAGCCAGGCTTGTAGTGGATACTGGCTTGATCTGACAGCTCTCCTCGTCACTACCATCGACACAGTTCACCGACAGGTCACAGCGGGCTACCCAAGGCACACAGGTTAGCCCGTCACCACAGGCGAAGTAGTCCAGGCCACACACCGACAGAAGTAGCTGTGTCTCTCGTGGACAGTCAGGCTCCTCAGTTAAGAAATGCCATTTTGTCACTCCAAGAGGAAGAATGTCTAGGTTACTGACTTCATTTTGTATCGCCAGTATTGTTGAGCCTTTGATGATGACCCATCGGTTACTGTCCCACACAATAGAGATGCCGTGGACGCTGATCAGGATGGGGTGTCCGTCTAGGTCGTAGGTAAAGGTGTAGAGACGGTCGTTAGGAAGTGTACAGCTCATGCGGAGAGTAAACACAGGGCGGGACACAGCGTGACACACAGCACACAGTCTCTCATCACAAGGCGTGTCCACCCAGCTGTTCCCCGAGACGCTAACTGATAGGCACTGGTCTCTGTCCTTCCTGGGGACCATATTCCACATAATACTCCAGTCATCCTTATTGTTATACCTCCTGTAGGCGTCAACCCACAACCAGGAGCCGTAACTGTTGGTACATTGGTCGACGTATTTGCTGAATCTCTGTCGAAGGTTCTCACTCTCTTCAGCTGACCTGGGACGCACCAGAGACCCACCTAAGTTCTTACACACCTCATCCAGCTCCTCCCGTGGGTGAGTTGAGGGTAGCATGATGAATGACTCTTGTTTCTGGCAGAAATGTCCTGTGTATAATCCGGTGATGCCCACGATGATGTCGTGTTTCTCCCAGTCGTCGAGGCCCCGCATGGTGTTCATGGACACGAGGGGTGACGCCACCACCTGTGAGCAGTCAATGAGGAAGTTATATATGGCTTGAGGTGTAAGTTTGCTACCCAAGAGCGCCAAGTGCGTGAGAGAGCCGTGAAAAGCGTAAGAGAGGCCTCCGTCGTGCTGGTGCTGCTGCCGACCAACCACTGCCACGCCCCCGCCTCTCAAGCGTGTTGACCCACCCACCACTGATATTTCTCCTGTAAATAAACAAAGAGCAAAAAGAGATCAACAGTAGGCTACTGGAGTCTCACAATTTACCAGCAAACATGTACTCTTAAACTATCAGTGGACAGAGTGGTGACTTGCCATTAATTTTTTTTATGAAGTCTGTCTTTACAGTGTGTCTTCTTAACTGTGCTTGAACTGCACAGTTTTCTAGTCAGGGGAAGAAACCAAATGGCTTTTTAAATGTCCGCCCAGTCTATGGGATAATCTGTCGCACTTGAAGAGAACACTTCAGAGGTTCAAGGGAGGGCAAACTGTTAACTGAAGTTTTCACTGGAACAATCTCTAGAAAGTGTTGTTCACCGATGGAGCTCTTTCAAAACCAGACTTGACAACACTGGAGCAGCTTAGGTAACTTCAGGAGCCAGAGCATGCCCAGCCTCTTTGCCAACAGTGCGTCACAGAGACGTGACCGATCGCCCAAGCGGCTAACGAGCCGATCAGTGGTGAAGAGGATAAAAGTAATACAGTACATTTTTAAAGCTTGTGTAATAGTGTATAAAAAAAGGTTGTAAGTGTCTCCATGAGCTAAAAATTCAATCAAATTAACTCAGAACATCTAAAGTAAGCCTTAAACATACATTGCTAGAAGGACTCACCGGAGGTCAGGTGATGGCGGTGCCCGAGGGTGTACGTAAGATCGTCCAAGTCAAGGACCATGCACAGGGACTCCCACTCCAGTAAGGATAGCGGCGGCTCTAGCACCACCCTCGCCGACACCCCGAAGTCGCAGCACTCTACCACCAGCTCCGACGTGTTCCACTGGATGGCTACGTAGAGAGAGAGGGTTGAGATATTGAGTGAGACATTCCTGCGAGATAACGAAGGCTGGAGGGAAGTTGTAAGGGAGACAGTGAAACTTATCAGTAGATAACACAGACTTAAAGACAGAGAAATATAAGACAGTGACTGGGAGAAGGGAACAGAGTATCAACTCACCCAAGACAAACTCGGAGTAACACTCTGGATGAGCGTAGCTGAAGAGCGGTACAACACCACTATAGGGGACAGACGTCACCTGGAAGCGGAGGCAGACCGTCACCTTGCTGAGGGGCATCGTAAAGTTCACCTCCTGACGTAGGTAACCCCAGCTGGACGACGACGACTCGGGATTACCTTTGAAAGTCACCACAGCCGCCGCTTCTGTTCCCGGCGACACTGTCAGGTTCATTAATAAAAGCTTTATATTGGTGTGTGTAATGTGTTGTGTCTCCCTTCTTAACTTATAGATTGATCTCTCTCTCTCTCTCTCTCGTGCAAGACAAAGGCTAGTTACAAAACATTTTGACGTGTAGTGTAGGTGTCCTGTCAAGGGTTGTCATAAGAATCACTGGATGAACATATTAGCTATATTTTTAAAACCATATACTGTAGGTGTATTTGAATTTTTTCCTTCTCCTGATAATGGAAGTATGTTGACAACTCCAACTGATATATTCTATCAGCAATAATTCAGTGATATACAAATACAAAAGACTGACAGGCTTACATTCATTAGAAGCGTAGAGTTAGGAGATATGATGAGGTGTACAAGTGGGTAAGTGGGATTAACAAGGGTAAAATGGAAGATGTTCTGAAGCTCAGTAACAGAAATAACTAGAACAAATGGCTTTAAATTAGATAAATTCGATTCAGAAAGGATATAGGCAAGCACTGGTTTGGTAATAGAGTTGTGGATATGTGGAATAGGCTACCAGTGCTATAGTAGGATCGGGGACGCTAGGAGCTTCAAGACGAAGTTGGATGGCACATGGAAGTGCTGGGATGGGTGTGAAGGGATCTGCCCTGTAGGCCAGTCGGCCTCCTGCAGTATCCCACTTTCTTATGTTCTTATGTTCTTATGTACAATAACAAATCATCGGCAGCACAGTTACAGGTCAGGGTGGTGGCTTTTGGATGAGGATTTTATTTAATTACTTTGCCATAAAACAATTTCTCTCGTGAATGTCTTGGCCTTTTTTTTTAAGGAAAGGTACTATTATTATTCACCCCTTGTGGTTTAAGATGTTTTGATGATATTCGTGTACTGGGGTTACAGAAAAAAAATATTCATCGATCATACTCTGTCCTGCCTTGGGCCACTGTCTGTTTCTTTCCGGTGTCACTTGTTGAGATTGTACCGAGATCAACATTTTCTGAGCATGCGCAGTCGATCAAAACATATCGAGGCGTACCGAGATTATTCCCCGGAAAAAGAATAAGTTAGGTTAGGTTGGGTTTGATTTGGTGTGGTTTGTATTTTATTACACCGTGCATTCCCAGAAAATTTTCAACACGGTAACATCTCACTCAGCATGTGACACTTGGAGTGTTGCCTTAAGAACACCACTCTAACTTAATGTACACCCAATAATGGAAAACATGTAGTAATAAACGGTGTCCTAAGAGAATTTAGGTCAAACTATCTTGAAATTATGATTAATCTCCCTCCCGTGAGAATCTGCAATAAAACACAGTCGACCTAACGCTGTTAACTAGTGCACAAGAAAGCAGCTGGAAGCCGGTATGAGTCGCATGTTACATCGTATACATTATGAACCGCGGATCAGATTGTATCAGTCACTAACAAGGTGCTGAAGGAAACACGTTGACGCACATCCCGTATGGTGGAACGTCTGTGATGTGGTATGCAGGAGTCTTATGACACGAAACTGCGTATGGATCACATGAAACTGAGTCTTATGACATGGGATGGTGTGAGTATTATGACATGAAATGGTGTGAGTCTTATGACCTGTAACTGTGAGTCTTATGACATGAAACTGTGTATGAATCTTATCACATGAAACTGAGTCTTATGATATGAAACTGTATGAATCATGACATGAAATGGTGCGAGTCTTATGAAACTGTGAGTCTTTTGACATGAAACTGTATGAATCATGACATGAAGTGGTGCGAGTCTTATGACATGAAACTGTATGAGTTATGACATGAAACTGTGTATGATTCTTATGGTATGAAACTTTGAATCTTTGACATGAAACTACGAGTCTTATGACATGAAACTGTGTTTGAGGCTTATGACATGAAACTGTACGTACGAGATTTACGACATGAAACTATGAGTATTATGATATGAAATTGTATGAATCTTATGACGTGAAATTGTGTACGAGTCTTATGACATGAAACTACTTGTATGTTAAATAAAACGGGACAAATTTGACTAGATTTCTGTTATAACGTATGATAAGCGGTGGTCAAATATCGATTCGCTTTTTTTCTGTTCGTAATTCGTTCCAATTAGTCCATTTTTTTTAGGTTTGGGTCCCTGTGTTGACCTGACTGATGTCTTGAGATTAAAACCTATTAATGAAGGTGCGTGTCGGAACTTTTGTATGTTCATATATCACTACGACGTTCTTCTCTGTACACCTTAATACACTGTTTTTATTGTTTCTCACGTACCGGTAGCAAGATATGAAAGTAGATGATGAAAACTATTCAGTATAATAAAGTGAAGGTACTGTAAATATATTCAAAATCAAAAGATGTGTAATAGGTTAAGTTGCTGAGTTAACCCGCATAATATTTAGTTACGCATTCTAGCGACGCATAACATGAAAATTCCATCATTTACTGTTCCCAGGTTAGAAGATAAAATACAGATTCACTTCATTTCATATCAATGGAAAGATATTTGGTCATGATGCAATTAAGTTACGATGAATGAAATCAATGAGTCCTATGCGGTATACAGTATGCCCGTTGATTTTAAATACCCGAAGATCTACATATATTACTGATAAGTAAACTGGAAACATATGATGGCTTTGTTGGATATTCTTATTTTATTGTCTTTACTTCTAACCATTATTATTTACATATATCTGCACTGTTGAGGTACACAGGAAATTGCATACCTACATTATTTATATGTATACTGAGCTGTAGACCCCGATTGTCTATAGAGGATACATATTGAACTAATTGTAAACATGTATGACGATTTCACTTAATAAATATCAATCGAATTTAGTCTAATGTACCCTTAAAGAGATATTATAATAACACAATGGGATAGAGCCAATATGAAACGTCGTCTCTAATACTTCCCGTTCTTTATGTTTTTTTATCTAATGAATAGCTTGTCGAGGTTACCTGCCAAGAGCACTGGGTTATTACTTATGTGTTATATGGGTGAATAAGGTGACTGGAAACTTGACAACATTAGAATAATACAACTTTACAACAGTTAAGGTTGGCAGTGAAGTAACAATAACAATAGATGTGCACTTGAGTGGTTGTCAGCGAGAAGGAAATACCTGAGAGAAGGGCGGGTGCAGTGGTGGCAGGTGTTGTAGTGATGGCAGATGTTGTAGTGGTAGCAGTTGGTGTCGTGATGGCAGATGTTGTAGTGATGGTAGATGTTGTAGTGATGGCAGATGTTGTAGTGGTAGCAGTTGGTGTAGTGATGGCAGATGTTGTAGTGATGGCAGATGTTGTAGTGGCGACAGTTGACGAAGTGGTGGCAGGTGGTACAGTGGCGGTGGCAGCTGGTATAAAAGGGGTGGCAGCTGGTGGAGTGGCGGCGACTGGTGTAGTAACGGCGGTAGCTGGTGTAGTAACGGTGGCAGCTGGTGTTGTAACGGTGGCAACTGGTGTAGTAACGGTGGCTGGTGTTGTAACGGTGGCAACTGGTGTAACGGTGGCAGCTGGTGTAGTAACGGTAGCAGCTGGTGTAGTAACGGTAGCAGCTGGTGTAGTAACGGTGGCAGCTGGTGTTGTAACGGTGGCAACTGGTGTAGTAACTGCAGCAGCTAGTTAGTAACTGCGGCAGCTGGTGTAGTAACGGCGGCAGCTGTTATTAATGGCCGGCAGCTGGTGCAGTAACGGCGGTAGCTGGTGTAGTAATGGTGGCAGCTGGTGTAGTAACGGTGGCAGCTGGTGTAGTAACGGTGGCAGCTGGTGTAGTAACGGTGGCAGCTGGTGTAGTAATGGTGGCAGCTGGTGTAGTAACGGCGGCAGCTGGTGTGGTAACGGCGGCAGCTGGTGTGGTAACGGTGGCAGTTGGGGTAGTAACAGTGGCAGCTGGTGTAGTAACGGTGGCGACTGGTGGAGTGGCCGCGACAGGTGTAGTAACGGTGGCAGCTGCTGTAGTAACGACGGCAGCTGGTGTTGTAAAGACATAAGTTGAAGGCGCCGTAGAACCAACTGGTGAAGCATTAACCTCAGCGGAACTTGTCTCTCCAGAGGTGTTGATGACGGCATCTGTAGTAAGTGTCTGCACCATCGTTACCAGCAGGAGGTGGAGGATAACTGTGCAGTACAGGTGTTCTCCTGCTGGTGGTAGGGGTGTAGTACAGGCTGTACTGCCACAGGACGTCACCCACGTCCACAAAACATCGGCCTTCATGACGTCCTCAGGCGGCGACAGTAACCAGTACACTGTGAGACTCGGCGATAATGGTGGCAAGTCCCTCCCCGTGACTCATGACCCAATTTTGCTTGACGCTTTGTTAACAGCTTGAAATATTACATTAATACTCACACGACGATGGGTTGATTTCCTGAGGAAGACGAAATAATAATAAACAACACAGTCTGATATTTCAGGCAGTTTATAAACTAAATATTTTATCCTACCCCGCGATGCACGTACCCCATTAATGACCTTGTGCTATTATTTGTAATGCAACTACACCATTGTCATTTACACTTGTATTCTTCTAGACTAAAGACATCTCTTTAAGGAACACCTAATATCTTACGTCATTTGTTAGTGGTTGGTACGAACGACACGGTCATGCATGCGTGTCAACTGTTATGATAACACTCCCTCACCCTAACGTCACGCCCTCGCAATTTTATGAATACAAAGAAGAACACAAGCGACGCCAGTTAATAAAGAAGCACTTTTGACTTCTAAAGGTTTCGAGTTGGATTATTCTTTATTTTCCATGCACATTAATTTTGATTACAGAGATCATAAATACTATATAGTATTGCAGGTGTGCATAAAATATAGCCTACACATATTGTCGCGAACTGCAAGAGTATTTTTCCAGCTTCCAGAACACGCGATATACAGTACAGTATTTCTTTTTCGTTATTTTCATGTAAATTTCCAAGCAAGCATTGATAGGGATGATTTGCGAGTGACGACAGGGTATAGTTTGGGAATAATTAGCCTTAAAATTAAATTACGGTAAAATTATCGATTCGGTCATCCACCTATTTGGAAGTAGGTCAGAAACGTTCAAAAGACACCAAAAAACATCGGAAAAGCATAATTTCAATCTACCATCGTCCGGTAGAGGTTTTTGGTTAGAATCCGAAAATTCGCTGGATTACCGAAAGGATAATTAACAATACCATAAATTACTATCCATATTATTAATAGTATGTGGACACTTATATTCTATTAATTTACAAATCCATTCATCTTACAAGCTAAGTTTCCACAATTACAAACCTATTCACACGGGAAAAGGGAAACAACGGAGCACCTTAGCTTTCGTCTTTATTCAAGACATCTTCAGAGGCAACTGGATTACATGGACAGAGAGAGGCTTAAATATACAGGGTGACCTTATTAAACACGAGGTCAGGTCATAATGATGTCATCCACTAATCCCCACACCAATACCAACACACACATAGAGGAGCTTAAGGGAAGGGGGCGACGTGACTAGTCAGGTTAGGTCACAAATAAGGGACCGACTAAATAACTATCCTACATCTAGATCCAAGGTTTTCAAAGCATTTTTAACCTTGGGCCACTGACAAATAAATTTATGTAACATATTATCAGTTTTGAACTGACCATCACTAAGGTTTATTGATTTTAATTCCTTAATCAAACTAGCTTCAACCAGAAGTCTTTCTGTGACACAAGATGATTTGAACACTTCCAAGCTTTTTTCCCAAGCAATGGGATTGTAGTGGATTTCTCCCCTACAAACGCTGTTTGCTGAGTAGCCGACCCCACGAATTCCCCAGTGTATGCCTCGTGGTCTACTGTAGGTCAACCAGCGCCGCCTTACATGCCGGAGGTCAACTACTAAGCCACGCCTACCTCCGCTATTTAAGACCTGACCTCGTGGTGACCGCTCTCTTTTCTATCTACACCAACCAGCCAGCAACACCGCCATCTCCTCCGACGCTGCCTGGCGGTCCTCGCTCCCGCCGGCGAGCATGGCGACCCACAAGCTGTCCTCCTCTGAGCACCCTCACCAACCAGCTCTCTCTACATCACGCTTGTAACCACGCTGCCACTACCCAGCACCAAGCTGCATTGTACATCCAATACAACATGTATACAGAGAGCACATTGTGAGTTTCCTTTCTCCATCCCATCCTGAGTGTGAACCAAACAACCTGTTCCCCACAAATGGTGCCCCCGAGTGACTCGAACACCCAGCCTTCTGCCCCATAGGATGATTATTATTCCTAACATTAACGAACAGGGCACTGCTTTCAGATGCTGTTCTGATATTGTACTTATGTTGTTTGATTCTGAGCTGCAGTGTTTTTCATGTCTGTCCTACATAATTACATTTGCTACATGGAATACAATAAACACTTCCATTTACATTCAAACTTGGGCTATTTCTTATTAACATATTTAGTAGCTTGGGGGGCCGAACTAACGGGACAAATTCATTGCGATAGGGCAGAGTCAAAATATTCTTAAGTGTAGGAATTTGTCTGGTTTGAGAGGAATGAAAGGATTTTTTAGCCCTTTTAAAACAACGATCAACAAACACAGAAGGAACGAATGTGTTTCAATTCATCATCAATAAATTCAGAGTCACAAATACGCAGACATCTTAAGAACAAAGCAGAAAAAACTGACATTTTGGTAGACTCCAGGTGATTTGATAAAAAGTGTATGAAACTGTCTACCTGTGTGGGCTTTCTGTATACCTTAAATTTGTAATTGAGAGAATACAGTACCGTACTAGGAAACGTAACATCGAATGCAAAACATCATTAATACAAAAATAATATATGTATTTCAGCTCTATCTTCAAAACTGTAGCCGGAGTCAGCGAACGGACACACACACACTTATACGATTTCATCATCTGCCCGAGAATTCCTGAGCTTCAATAGACAAGCATAGTCCTTGACACAAGTCATATTAACTTTATCCCAAACCCTACACTCGTTACATGGTACAGTGGCGATGATACGTACATTTAAAAGACCTAGATGTGAAATTGATGGATGTGGTGATAATGGTGATGGTTGTGTTGGTGATGGTTGTTGTTGTGGTGATGATGGTGATGGTTGTTGTTGTGGTGATAATGGTGATGGTTGGTGTGGTAATAATGGTGATGGTTGTTGTGGTGATAATGGTGATGGTTGTTGTTGTGGTGATGATGGTGATGGTTGTTGTTGTGGTGATGATGGTGATGGTTGTTGTGGTGATAATGGTGATGGTTGTTGTGGTGATAATGGTGATGGTTGTGTTGGTGATGGTTGTTGTTGTGGTGATGATGGTGATGGTTGTTGTTGTGATGATGGTGATGGTTGTTGTTGTGATATTGGTGATGGTTGTTGTGGTGATAATGGTGATGGTTGTTGTGGTGATATATGATGATGGTTGTGTTGGTGATGGTTTGTTGTTGTGGTGATGATGGTGAGTGGTTGTTGTTGTGGTGATGATGGTGATGGTTGTTGTGGTAATAATGTGATGGTTGTTGTGGTGATAATGATGATGGTTGTGTTGGTGGTTTGTTGTTGTGGTGATGGTGATGGTTGTTGTTGTGGTGATGATGGTGATGGTTGTTGTGGTGATGATGGTTGGTTGTTGTGTGATAGTGATGATGGTTGTGTTGGTGATGGTTGTTGTTGTGGTGATGATGGTGATGGTTGTTGTTGTGGTGATGATGGTGATGGTTGTTTTGGTGGTGATGGTTGTTGTGGTGATGGTTGCTGTGGTGGTGATGGTTGTTGTTGTATTAATGGTGATGGTTGTTGTGGTGATGATGGTTGTTGTGGTGATGATGGTGATGAGTTGTTTTGGTGGTGATGGTTGTTGTGGTGATGGTTGCTGTGGTGGTGATGGATTGTTGTGGTGGTAATGGTTGTGGTGATGGTTGCTGTGGTGATGATTGTTGTGGTGATTGATGTGGTTGTGGTGATGATTGTTGTGGTGGTGATTGCTGTGGTGGTGATTGATGTGGTTGTGGTGGAATGGTTGCTGTGGTGATGATTGTTGTGGTGATTGCTGTGGTGATGATGGTTGTTGTGGTGGTAATAGTTGTGGTGATGGTGATGATTGTTGTTGTGGTGGTGATGGCTGTTGTGATGGTGATGGTTGCTGTGGTGGTGATGGTTGTTGTTGTGGTGATGGTTGTTGTGGTTGTGATGATGGTTGTTGTGGTGGTGGTTGTGATGATGGTTGTTGCGTTGATGGTGATGATGGTTGTGGTGATGGGATGGTCAGTTGTTGTGATGGTTGTTGTGGTGATGGTGGGCGATGTGGTGGTGATGGCTGTTGTGGTGATAATGATGGTTGTGATGATGGGGGAAAGGATAGTTGTTGTGGTGACAGGAAGGACAGTAGTTGTGGTGATGGGAAGAATAATTGTTGTGGTGGTGGTGGTGATGATGGTTGTTGTGGTGATGGGAAGGAAAGTTGTTGTGGTGGTGGTGGTGATGATGGTTGTTGTGGTGATCGTTGTTGTGATGGTGATGATAGTTGTTGTGGTAATGATAGTTGTTCTGGTGATCGTTGTTGTGATGGTGATGATAGTTGTTGTGGTGGTGGTGATAGTTGTTGTGGTAGTGATGGTGATGATAGTTGTTGTGGTGATGGGAAGGATAATTGTTGCGATGATGGTGATGATGTTTGTCGTGGTGATCGTTTTTGTGATGGTGATGATAGTTGTTGTGGTGATGGGAAGGATAATTGTTGTGGTGGTGGTGATGATGTTTGTTGTGGTGATCGTTGTTGTGATGGTGATGATAGTTGTTGTGGTGGTGGGAAAGATAGTTGTTGTGGTGATGGTGATAGTTGTTGTGGTGATGGTGATAGTTGTTGTGGTGGTGATGATAGTTGTTGTCGTGATGGGATGGATAATTGTTGTGATGATGGTGATGTTTGTTGTGGAGGTGATGGGAAGGATAGTTGTTGTGGTGACGGTGATAGTTGTTGTGGTGGTGATGGTGATGATGTTTGTTGTGGTGGTGATGGGAAGGATAATTGTTGTGGTGATGGTGATGTTTGTTGTGGAGGTGATGGGAAGGATAGTTGTTGTGGTGATGGTGATAGTTGTTGTGATGGTGTCGTTGGTGGTGATGGTGATAGTTGTTGCTTGTGGTGGTGGGAAGGATGGTTGTTGTGTTGATGGGAAGGATAGTTCTTGTGGTGATGGGAAATATAGTTGTTGTGGTAATGGTGAAGATAGTTGTTGTGGTAATGGTGAAGATAGTTGTTGTGGTGATGGGAAGGATAGTTGTTGTGGTGATGGGAAATATAGTTGTTGTGGTAATGGTGATGATAGTTGTTGTGGTGATGGGAAGGATAGTTGTTGTGGTGATGGGAAGGACAGTTGTTGTGGTGATGGGAAATATAGTTGTTGTGGTAATGGTGAAGATGGTTGTTGTGGTGATGGCGGTGATAATTGTTGCGATGATGAGGATGGTTTAATGAGAGGTGGGAAGGATGGTTTAAGGGGTGGTGGGAGATGTGAGGAAAAGTAGGATATGTTAGCCAGGGCACTACTATGAGGTACTGTACTAATGATACTCAGACTGTAGCCTTGAGATGGCCTAATGTCGCCCTGGAAAGTACTGCTGTGGCCTTGGAAAGTACGACTGTGGCCATGGAAGGTGTTGCTGTGGCCTTGGAAAGTACTGCTATGGCCCCGAAAAGTGCTGTTGTGGCCCTCGTGGTGAAGGAGCCATGGGTTCACCGTATAGGAGGGGTCCCCTGCCTTCACGTCAGCCAAGTCGTCTTCCTGGAAACGTTGGTCCCAGAGCAGCTGACGGAACACCCATGGCATTTCCTCTAACCACCCAAAGAAAACGACACGTGAGTTTAAAATCTATATAACTTTAAAATCCCTTGAACACAGAGATGTACAGTATTATGTTTGCTTTATCTTCTTTCGCGGGTAAAAGCCATTGATTTCTAACGTTTCAAGTCCGAAATATGATAGGTATATCTGTATATTTCGCCCTTCAAAGATAAGATTTTCATAGATTTTACCCGCGAAAGAAAATAGCAAAACATAATATTGCACATCTCTATGTTCAAGGGATTTTAAGTTACAGTTATGAATTTTTAACACGATTTTTTTGGAACCTTAATTTACTCAGATTTAGGAAAACCTAACTGCCCCGTCTCACCTGGTCTCATCTTGGCTCCAGCAACAGAATGTGAAGCATATGTCTCCTGTAAGTTTGAGTTGTGATGGTTTTGTAGTTCCCTGTAAAGTGCAGCGTCCATGGGTAGCAACTGCCTCTCTTTCTTGTAATGCGCGGCGTCCTTGGGCAGTATATGGTCCTGTTTCTTGTAGGGAAAGGCGTCCGTGAACAGTGGAAAATTGAAACAC